TCAAAAGGTACTGGTTTAAAAAAATTAAGATTAAAGTTAATTAATCAACCTTTAAGGTATAAAATTTGGTAGGTGTTATTGTTAATAAAATAGTTTGTTTTATTTACCTATGTTGTTTTATTTATCCCTGTGGAATATTACAAATTTGTATTGGTACATAAGTTATATTGATAAATATAATCATAAATGCGGGTAGTTTCATAAAGCTTGAAAGTAAATAATAGTTCTTTTTTATATTTTTTTGGTATGTAGTGTCTTGTTCTTGTTTGTTTTGTATTAACACATACCGTTTTTATTAAATAAAATAACTCGATTACATTTTTTCAGTTTTATAGAGTTTTTTTTCACAATATTTTGAAGTAATCACTTGTCATCTTGTCAATCAAATTTTAAATATATCCTGCTATGCGTTCCAGTTGTACCAACTTATTTCTTTGTAAAATAAAATAAACTACTTTGAAATTTAAATGACAGACACATCTATCACTGTCAAGGATCTTCTCGTTGGATAGACTATATATCTTTAAGATTGTTACATAAGGATAATATTTTTCTATCGATCGTGTCAGATGATGTTTTTGAGAGATTTGTTGATTCACCTATGTTTTTCGGTCAGTCGAGATTATTGTTGTTTATTGTAAGCTTTTCGAGTTTCGAGCGGAATAAATTTGTTTGTGTTTTTGATTTTCGACGTTTATTTTCTGTAATATCCCTTGTTTTAATAATATAGTACTAATTGCAAGATGCATGCTTGTCGCCCATGCGTAAGTACATCTCTGGTTTTTGCCATTTACGCGTGGACTACTCTTATTTTTCTTTTGTACGGCAAAATAACCAAGCTGTAATATATCTGGGACTAAGCGTATTATGGCTTTCTTTTTCGAATGACGTTAACATTTGTCTATAAAGTTGTATTGCTATCTTAATTTCTATGAAAATGTTACATTTCTGGTTTTCCCGTGTAGTCTTCATTTGTCCACTCCATTTATTGCTGTGAAAACGATTTAGGTATGTCGCCAATATTGAAGTTATTAATGTAAATTTGATATTACATAATCTATTATTGTTTTACCGTTTTAAATTATCCGCAATTAACTCGAAACGGAACTACGATCCGGAAATAAATCGGACATACGCTATAACAGTAACATTATTTGCGCAGTCGTTTTTGCGCCTCGGCCAGTGTAAACAAGGCTGGCCCAGGCTGGCCAAGTATACTTGGCAAGTGTACGATTAATCGTTTGATTCGGGCTATATTTACCGACAGAGAGTGGGGACGCGACAAGTGACCAAGGAACCCGTTCTCACGACATGGCAAGTATATTCCAATATCAAATATTTGTCAAGTACGCCAATATTTGCGTACTTGGCAAGTATCCCCACCAATCCCCACTTTGTACTACATTGGCAAGTGTACTTGGCAAGTACGCCAATATTTGCGTATTTGCCAAGTACCCCTACAATCCTTGCCAAGTAAACAGTATAGTCGCATCGATGGATACTGGTCGTCCCGAAATTGTCGTTGCTAGTGATTCTTTTTTCTTTTTAAGTTCTTTTACTGTACACTGCAATACGATTTCTATGTTCTTTATGTTTGGCCATCCATATGAAGGGCTCATTTTCGTATAAATCCATAAATTCCAAAACAACATCATTTGAAGACTACACGGGAAAACCCAGTTTTGTCCGTTTTAATTGGAGCCGAGAAAAATGCAATTTAGTGTTTTTAAGGAAATATGTTATTTTCGGTTGAATAATTAGAAAAATATTTATATTACTACCAATTCTGAATTATTAATATTGTGAATTATCGCCATATTCTGAAATATTGAAATAAAAATCTAAATAGATAATCTAAAAAAAATAGTCAAAATGCAAAACAAAACAGCAGAAAACCAGAGATGTTCAATTAATTAAAGGTTGTATAAAACCTAAATCTAAACTATTATTTTTTTTGTTGAAAATTTATATTTAAGTAGGTTTTTATTACCATACATAAATTTATAACCATATTGATAACGAAAAAAATATTCCGTATATGCGTACATAAATTAATTACGTATGTGTATACCTTTAAGATTGTTACATAAGGATAATATTTTTCTATCGATCGTGTCAGATGATGTTTTTGAGAGATTTGTTGATTCATCTATGTTTTTCGGTCAGTCGAGATTATTGTTGTTTATTGTAAGCTTCGGCAAGTTTCGAGCGGAATAAATTTGTTTGTGTTTTTGATTTTCGACGTTTATTTTCTGTAATATCCCTTGTTTTAATAATATAATACTAATTGCAAGATGCATGCTTGTCGCCCATGCGTAAGTACATCTCTGGTTTTTGCCATTTACGCGTAGACTACTGTGGTTTTTCTTTTGTACGGCAAAATAACCAAGCTGTAATATCTCTGGGACTAAGCGTATTATTGCTTTCTTTTTTCGAATGACGTTAACATTTGTCTATAAGTTGTATCTTAATTTCTATGAAAATGTGACATATCTGGTTTTTCCCGTGTAGTCTTTATTTGTCCAGTCCATTTATTGCTGTGAAAACGAATATTGAAGTTATTAATGTAAATTTGATATTACATAATCTATTATTGTTTTAACGTTTTAAATTATCCACAATTAACTCGAAAAACACTACGATCCGGAAATAAATCGGACATACGCTATAACAGTAACATTATTTGCGCAGTCGTTTTTTTGCGCCTCGGCAAGTGTAAACAAGGCTGGCCAAGTATACTTGGCAAGTGTACGATTAAAGGCGGATTCTCACGACTGGCGTACTTGACAAGTACGCCAATATTTGCGTACTTGGCAAGTATCCCCACCAGTCTCTACTTTGTACTACATTGGCAAGTGTACTTGACAAGTACGCCAATATTTGCGTATTTGCCAAGTACCCCTACAATCCTTGGCAAGTAAACAGTATAGTTGCATCGATGGATACTGGTCGTCCCGAAATTGTCGTTGCTAGTGATTCTTTTTTCTTTTTAAGTTCTTTTACTGTACACTGCAATACGATTTCTATGTTCTTTATGTTTGGCCATCCATATGAAGGGCTCATTTTCGTATAAATCCCTAAATTCCAAAACAACATCATTTGAAGACTACACGGGAAAACCCAGTTTTCTCCATTTTAATTGGAGCCGAGAAAAATGCAATTTAGTGTTTTTAAAGGAATATGTTATTTTCGGTTGAATAATTAGAAAAATATTTATATTACTACCAATCCTGAATTACTAATATTGCGAATTATCGCCATATTCTGAAATATTGAAATAAAAATCTAAATAGATAATCTAAACAAAAATAGTTATAATGCAAAACAAACCAGGGGAAAACCAGAGATGTTCAATTAATTAAAGGTTGTATAAAACCTAAATCTAAACTACATATTTTTTTTGTTGAAAATTAATATTTAAGTAGGTTTTTATTACAATACATAAATTTATAACATATTGATAACGAAAAAAATATTCCATATATACGTACATAAATTAATTACGTATGTGTATACCTTTAAGATTGTTACATAAGGATAATATTTTTCTATCGATCGTGTCAGATGATGTTTTTGAGACATTTGTTGATTCATCTATGTTTTTCGGTCAGTCGAGATTATTGTTGTTTATTGAAAGCTTCGGCAAGTTTCGAGCGGAATAAATTTGTTTGTGTTTTTGATTTTCGACGTTTATTTTCTGTAATATCCCTTGTTTTAATAATATAGTACTAATTGCAAGATGCATGCTTGTCGCCCATGCGTAAGTACATCTCTGGTTTTTGCCATTTACGCGTGGACTACTCTGATTTTTCCTTTGTACGGCAAAATAACCAAGCTGTAATATCTCTGGGACTAAGCGTATTATTGCTTTCTTTTTTCGAATGACGTTAACATTTGTCTATAAAAGTTGTATCGCTATCTTAATTTCTATGAAAATGTGACATATCTGGTTTTTCCAGTGTAGTCTTCATTTGTCCACTCCATTTATTGCTGTGAAAACGATTTAGGTATGTCGCCAATATTGAAGTTATTAATGTAAATTTGATATTACATAATCTATTATTGTTTTACCGTTTTAAATTATCCGCAATTAACTCGAAAAACACTACGATCCGGAAATAAATCGGACATACGCTATAACAGTAACATTATTTGCGCAGTCGTTTTTTTGCGCCTCGGCCAGTGTAAACATGGCTGGCCCAGGCTGGCCAAGTATACTTGGCAAATGTACGATTAATCATTTGATTCAGGCTATATTTACCGACAGAGAGTAGGGACGCGACAAGTGACCAAGGAACCCGTTCTCACGACATGGCAAGTATATTCCAATATCAAATGTTTGTCAAGTACGCCAGTCGTGAGAATCCGCCTTAATCGTTTGACTCGGGCTATATTTACCTACAGAGAGTGGGGACGCGACAAGTGACCAAGGAACCAGTTCTCACGACATGGCAAGTATATTCCAATATCAAATGTTTGTCAAGTACGCCAGTCGTGAGAATCCGCCTTTAATAATTATTATTTTTACACACACCACTGGCACTAGCAGTAGATTGTGTTTGTCTCCGAATATGCCCCGGCCCGTCCACAATTCAATCCCCGCATCTTTTATCTTTGTCTCTTCAATGCTAACGGCGCCGATCTCGCCTATCTCTTTCTCACAGGATTGATTGTTGGACGGGCCGGGAATCCACGAGCTTGTGACGTTACTAATTGACATCTTGATTGAAACTGCAGACCTGCGGCGTCTTTTGCGTGTTTTTAATGGACATAAATCGGAAAAAGCGCTTAAAACGGTAAAATCGCAAAAAGCGCTTGAGACGCAAAAAACGCAAAACGCTAAAAACGCTTTATGTGTGGCCGTGGGCTTACACAATTTTGATACTATTAAGATAGTACGATATCATATATCCCTATAGGACAAAAATAATATTGTATTGTAGGTTAGAAAAACGTAATATTAATTGTTAATATTAATAATGAAATAAGACAAAACTTACCTTTATATTTAATTCTAAACTTTTCCATTGTAAAAATCTAATATATTTATCACTGAAACAAAAAAAAAGAATTATAACATGTTCAAAATCGTTTATTACAACAAACATCTACTCCAATTGCTGTCAAAGTTGAATAAAACAAACAGCAGTTTATGTGGGAAATTAGTTAGTCAACTTTTCTAATAATGGCGAGTTTTAATTAAAATTAAGCTTTTCAAAAGTAAGGCTTAGAACAAACCAACATAAAACGACGATAGGAAAAGCAGGCAGTAATGTGAAAGTTTATTGACGTTTCGAGGTAGATCTATAAATTGCGTCGATCGTGGTTTCCGTTTTGATATTGCTAATTACACAGTTTGATTTGAAAATTTATCGTTCGGGATTAATAACTTAATAATCGTCTTCAATTTCTGCGGGTTTATAGGAATATCGTAGTTTCGTCGTAATAACGATCTGATTAATAATATTTTAATTGATTTAATTTTTAATTTCATCTTTAATCTCATCTCGATAGACAGTAGGTATAATGTTTTGGTTTGGATTTGCATACTATTCTAAATGAATATCAATTATTCTCAGAGATTTGCCAATAATTTGGCACTAAAACTAGAACAATTTTGAAAATATTGGTATTTAAATGTAATAGATAATAATGTAAAGATACTAATACTGTAAAGATACACTCAGATGCAAAAAAACGCAACGGAGAAAATTTTGGTCAAATTTTAAAGTGTTATATTTTTGTTATTTTTAGCCCTATTTTCATTAATTGTTTAGCACGTTGTATACAAAGTATCCCAGGCTGAGCGTGCATTAGAAGTTTCTAGAGAACTACAATGTCTAGAGCGGAGATTTTTTGCACATCATTGTTTTACAACGAGATCTATCGATTAAAAATATTTTCAATATGGCGGCACTTCCGGAAATACCGGAGGTTGACAGCAACTTTCTTATTTTAAATAGGTGCCCCCATTTTTTATTATATACTTAAATTCTCTGTAAAAATCTATGAATATTGATGTCAAACACTCTCAATTTTTTGGACGAAAAAAACTACCTGTCAAAAAAATTTGTATAGCCTAAAAGTCAAATTTAGTGATTACCACAGCCACTGTGACATAAAGAGAAGACATGTGGCATGCATGTGGCTATCTATTTCAAAAATTAAATAGATCAAATGTCATATAATAATGGCGGTAGCTGTCATGGAATTGAGTGACTAAAAAATTATTATAAATTATTTTTTTCAAATGGAAACCCGTTACTTTTTATTTATACATGTTCCTATACCTAAAATAAATCGTTTTTAAGTTATTTAAGATTTAGTTTGAAAACGTATATTTTTCTTGATTTTATCTAGCTACATTAAGTGTCAACGGTCAGACAATTTATTTCCATCTGTCAGAAAACAAATTATTTGAATAGTATAAATACTGCCTGCCTTAAGAATTTAAAAAGTGTATTTATAAAAACATATCTCGAATTTTCGCTCTTTAGTGATATCTAATAGTTGATTTTATTAATAATATTCCTATGATCGAAAGAAAAAACAGCGCAAAGTTGGCTCGAAAATGATGCTGCTTTTTGAACAAAGCGTCACAATATGACATGGCCAGATCTATAGTTTTACATTACTTGACGTTTAAAGTCATAGGCTTCTGGTTAAAATCAAGATACGCTTTAAAACTAAATCTTAAATAACTTAAAAACGATTTATTTTAGGTATAGGAACACGTATAGTTAAAAAGTAACGAACTGAAAAGCTTTTTCACTAGCGAAATAAAAAAGTGGATTTCCATTTGAAAAAATGATTTATGATAATGTTTTAATCGCTCAATTTTATGACAGCTGCGGCCATTATCATAAGACATTCGAACAATTTAATTTTTGATATAGATAGCCATAGGTTTTCTCTTTATGGCACAGTGGCTGTGGTAATCACCAAATTTGACGTTTAGACTATATACATATTTTTGACAGGCAGTTTTTTTCGTTCAAAAACTTTAAATATTTTTTTTCTCAAAAACGGTCAATGTTAGATATAGTGTTTAATATCAAAATTCATAAAATTTTACAGAGAATTTAAGTACATAATAAAAAATGGGGGCACCTATTTAAAATATTTTTAATCGATAGATCTCGTTGTGAAACTATGATGTGCAAAAAATCTCCGAACTAAATGTTGTAGTTCTCTAGAAATTTCTAATGCACGATCAGCCTGGGACACCCTGTATAATTATGTTAACTTTAATTCGTAAACTCAGCTTTTTATAAACTTTAGTAATTGGCGTATTATACAGGGTTAATCGAGGGCGTTGTTTTTTATCTTAACTTTAAAACACCCTGTGCAATCATTTCGTGTGAAAATTTTCCTAAAATATTATTTTACTTTCAAAACCATGTCTCCTGAGTATTTTGTTTTTTGGATCATGTTAATACATGCTTTGGTTAATTGTTAAGAGGGAAATGAACTGATCACGATCGAATTGCAATTTTTTCAATTATCATTACTTTTGATGTATTTTTTTAATATGACGATATGGTTTTAGTGACTATTGTCGTAACGTCATGTTACGCTGCATTGGATACTCTATACTAAATTAAAAAAAACCTTAAAGATTAACGATACAATCCTGGTGTTAATAAACATTAATAACGATAACAGAACTAACGATATTAAAGAAAATATCTCTAATAGGTACTCAAGTATACAAACAGAAAAAAAAATATCCTAAAACTTTGTGTTGCCTCCCCTGGCTGTTATAACTGCCTGTATACGTCCGTCCGTTCATACTGTCATTGAGGCTGCATATATCATATTGCGTTATGCTTTCCCGTTCTTCTTTAAGAACCAAGCGAAGTTCATTTAATGAAGCTGGTACCGCTTCGCGACCTCTAACCCTCCTGCCAAACATTTTCTAAACGTCGAACACAATGGGCAGTTCATAGTAGTATATAGTTCACAATAATCACCAAAGCTGTCTTGTCATATTGAAAAATAATTTCAAATAGATATTTTAATTGAAAAAAATGCGAATTGTTGGTGGCAAGTTCATTTCGCTCTTAAAAATTAACTAAGGCATGTATTGACATGATCCAAAAACCAAAATGCTCAGGAGACATGGTTCTGACCGTAAAATTGTATTTTAGAGAAATTTACACACGAAATTATTGCACAGGGTGTGTTAAAGTTAGGCTAAAAAAGCAACCCCTCGATTAACCCTGTATAATATGCCAAATACTAAAGTTTATAAAAAACTGAGTATATGAATTAAAGTTGATATAATTATACACAGCTTGCTAAAAAATTCATGAAAATAAAGCTAAAAATAACAAAAATATAACACTTTAAATTTTGCGTTAACACTTCACTCCGTTGCGTTTTTTTGCATCTGAGTGTTTATTAAAATGTTTCTTATTTTAGAAAACATGATTTTTATTTTTATTAATAATTAATAAAAAGTAATTATACCTATAAAAAGTTAAATTAAAAAATAAAACAAACATACCTTTCTAAAAATTGCTTGAAGGGTTCCTCTCTGAGATGGTTATAAATTTCTTCTATATAAGGCTGAAAATTAAAAGAAAATAATAATTTTAATACCAATTTGAGATAAAATGTGTATATTTATTGAACAACAATTTTAAATTTAATATTGTTATCCTCTGGGTAATGGATATTACCGAAAAATAATATTTTAAAAACCCGGTTGGTGATTGATCCGATCTATACAAATGGTATAATATTGGTGACTAAGCATGGACAACTTCCTTAAAACATCTATATTTTTATTGTCATATCTTAAGTGATTAATTGACCGGATAAAAATGATACGTAGAATAAAAAATATATACAGGGTCGCTTTTATGTATGGAAACAGTCGATTATTAGGTAAAATATAGGAGGTACCGCAAAAAGTTGAATATAAAAGTTATAGGGTTTATAAATATCTATTAGTAGGTAATAAATTTAAGTATACATGGTCGGTCATAAAGTCGTGAAACATCAAAGTTTCATTTTTTTAACGGAACCCCCTGTATATTATTGCATATTTCGGTTCTTCCATCAATTCTAAGCAAAAATAGAAATACACGCAATGTATCTCATACCAACCGTTTCCGAGTTATTGACTTTTGAAAATATCGCTTAAACAATTTGATTTAATTAATTTCGATATGTTCAGTTTCATTTGACGATGCCATTTTGCTGTGATACTTAATAATATTTGAGATTAGTTCTCAAATTAGCATTTATAGATGTATAAAATGAGAGTTTAGCAAGTCTGGAAATTACAAAATTTTCGTTTAACATTTCAATTCTTCAATTTATGTACATTGTGTATTACGACTATTGTTTAAAATTGAAGGAAGAATTGAAATATGCAATAATATACAGGAGGTTTCATTTAAAAAAAATAAAGTTTGATGTGACACAACTTTATGACTGTATACTTAAATTTACTAGTGGCTAATAGGAATTTAAAAACCCATTATAACAGTATCACAGTTTCGGCAGAATGGCATCATTAAATCAAACCAAACATATCGAAATTAAATAAATCGAATTGTTTAAGTGATATTTTCAAAAGTCAATAACTCGGAAACGGCTGCTTTGAGGTACATTGTGTGTATTTCGATTTTTGCTTAGAATTGAAGGAAGAATTGAAATATGTAATAATATACAGGGGGTTCTATTTAAAAAAATTAAACTTTGATGTGCCACGTCTTTATGAACGACTCTGTATACTTAAATTTATTACTCGCTAATAGATATTAAAAAATCCTATAACTTTTGTATTTAACTTTTTGCGGTACCTCCTATATATTACCTAATAATCGACCGTTTCCATACATAAAAGCGACCCCGTATATAAACAAATCTCAAACATTATAGCTTGCTCTTTGGAAGGATTACCTCTTGCACCTGGTATAATTTAAGTATCTTTTTAAAATACAACGTAATTTGAGTTCAAAAACATATTCTACTGTGTAAACAAAGTTCTCATTTACATGATCCAACCGCGTTGGTTTTAATTTAATATTTCTAATACTCCAAATTGTATTGTTTGTTTAATATTGCAATATGTATATGTATATACATATTGCAATATTAAAGGTAAACATATTCCATGCACATATTCAATCCATTAGTGCTAATTTAAAACATCTCTGTAACGTGAAATGCTTTTACAATTTGCATGCGCTTTCATAAAATTAAAAACTGTTTCAAATTTCCGTGTATATGAATTTAGAAATACTTCAAAGAAAATTGTGAAATGGAAACTCACTCTAAGTAAAGATACTGAAACTAAAATATCAACTAAGCAGACGAGAGTTTCTAATAAACAGTGCTAGAATTTTATTTAGTAAAATTTATATAATTTTTTTATTTAATTACTGAAAACTCAAAAACTAAACTTGCTTTATACAGAGTGTTCCATTAGTTCCTGGACATAGAACTACTACGTATTTTTGGAATCAAAATAAGTTCATTGGACACAATTTATCTCTACACAAAAGTGCTTCGGTAAAAAATTACATCAGATCCGGATCCTTTTTCAATCCGGATCAGATCCGGATCTGATCCGGATTTTTTAAAGTGTACAATCCGGAACTGGATCGATCCGGGTATAAATATTCGGATTTAAGATCCGGATTTAAGACCCCGATTTAAGATCCGGGTTTAAGTCCGGATTTAGGATCTGGATCCAAGATCGTCGTATTCGTATTCACTGTTGCCACTGTTGCCAGTCGTCGTTCCATGCATAACATGCGCATGCCGCATCCGCATACTTGGTTGTATTTTTTTATGTTTTGTTTGAAAATTAAATATCTTGTGCTGCAAATTAAACTACTTTTTATGCCCACACTGATAAAAAAGATAGACTTGAACTAAAGTCGTCATCGTTCTTGAAAAAAAAATTAGTGGCAAGAGAATTTATTTTAGCGTAAAAGAAAATATTTTGCCTGAAGAAAAATTCTCTTAACTCAAGAAAACTGGTACTCCTGAAAAATTCGAAAATTGTTCTTGAATCTATTTTCATTCAACCAAGTGCAAGTTACTTTGTTTTAAGATAAAAAGAAAAATACGCTAGGAAGTACTTCATTCAAGAAACATGGCCCTTTTTCCAATAGCTAAATACTCTTTTGATGAAAAATAATAACGACACGCAAAGACGATGACGAAGGACGGTATACAATCAGTCGGCAGTCCGATCAGTCGTACGTCGCATTTCATAGGTCGCACATCATAGTACATACGCGTTTTGTTGCTTGGAATTTTCCACTTGGAATTTAGCATAATTTGCTTTTTAAACGCATATCGTATAACAAATTAGTGATCGTTATTAACATGCATTTGTCATTTTTTATGGACAAATTTTAGGATATATGGATTCTTTAAAGGAGTTTCTCAAAAAATGGAAATTAGAGCATTTATTTGCTATATTTGAAGGTAAGAGACATTTACATAATGCACCTGTTTAGATAATGCATGCGTGACTATAGATAGAATAAGAATATAGGTATCAATTTTGTTATGCAAATAATTACAAAAATTTTAGAATTTCAAGTCGTCGTATTAAAAAATTCAAAATGTTACCAAAACTTATAATTTTAATAATTTATTTGTGTGCTTTACTTTGATTAATCCTGATGTAACGTTTTTTTTGTAATTTGTAGAGTGATGAACCACCCCAAAAAATACCAAGGAGTGAAGAAGCAGAAATAACTACTATCGAGAAAAATAATATCACTTTACTTACTACTCTGTAGTAAGTAAATACCAGGAAAACCTAAATTTATCAGAAAATAATATACCTCGTAATATGCCTGTATATGATGTATAGACTTCTCTTAGATCAAAATAAATTTTAGTTGAGTCAATATTATTCGCTATTGGTTTAAGAAAAGTGTCTCTTTAATCAAGAAATGTCCCTTTTCATTCAAGAATTTTTGCATGAATCAAAGAGACTATTGTTCTTGTAGCAAGAACTTCTTTGCATATTCATTTTGGGTCAAGAGTGAAATGCTTTTGACAGATAGATTATTCTATTCTCTAAAGTAATTTTTTAAAGCTTATGAAAAGATAGTTAATGCTTTGGGCAAAGAAACGTCGTTCTTGGCCCTATTGAAAAGCGCCAATCTTTTGGGTCAAAGTCATATTCATTTCGACTGAGAGATCCTTTTTTTCAGTGCATAATTTATAAATTACCCTCGAAATTACCATAACCGGGGTATGGGATCCGAATTTGAGATTCGGATTTCAGATGCGATTTTAAGATCCGAATCTCAGATCCGAATCGCATATTCAAATCCGGATACGGATAAATCCGGATCCGGATTTTTTTAAAGGATCCCCGATCCGTTTAAAAACTCGGATCCGTACAGCACTAATCGAAACAGAGGTAAGACAACAAACAACAACAGCATTGAGAGTCAGAGGTGGGTAAAGATTGAACGAGTCGTGCATTTGAACGAGTATTAAAAATGAATCGTGTGATTTGATTCACTGCTTAGAATACGGTTCGTTCAATTGAATCGTGGCCGGCACGGATCCATAAGATTTGAACGATGAGCCGTAAAAAAGAATCGTGAGAATTGAATCGAATCGCATCATGCGATCGTTCGTTCAAAGAGTCGTGAGAATTGATTCTTTGCTTACAATACGGTTCGTTCAATTGAATCGTGGCCAGCACGGATCCATAAGATTTGAACGATGAGCCGTAAAAAAGAATCGTGAGAATTGAATCGGATCACAACGCGATCGTTCGTTTCTACGACGCGGCGGTCATTATTTAGACTTGAACAAAAGATCTAAACAAACATCATGGGCATAAAATGTAAACGATAAGAATGTTATTTACAAGAAAAAAACTTATTTATACCGTAAACTAAACGTTCTCTAACCCAGTGTGAGTACATATTATCAAAGCAAACCTTTGAAGGAGAGTAAAAGGACAATAACTCACAATCTTTGAGTTGTTTATTTAAAAAAAAAAATAATGCTTAAAAAAGCAAGGGGGGCGACATGTTTCGGGAATTTAAAATATTCCCATCTTCAGGCCCAAAGACAAAAGCCACTTAGGAAGTACAACCACTCAGAAGCAATAAAACCAAATAGAGCTGTTAACATTTACACAACTCATTCATTGTAATTTTAAATTATTTAACTCTTCAAGAAGGGAGCATTTCGTTGTAATACCAAATATCTATATCATAATCTCCAAACCATATTATTTCGATTTTTTGTGTTAATAAAAAAAAGTCAAAAATTAAATATTAAAATAACAAATCGAAATAATATGGTTTGGAGATTATAATATAGATATTTGGTATTACAACGAAATGCTCCCTTCTTGAAAAGTTATATAATTTAAAATTACAATGAATGAGTTGTGTAAATGTTAACAGCTCTAATTGGTTTTATTGCTTCTGAGTGGTTGTACTTCCTAAGTGACTTTTTTTTGTCTTTGGGCCTAAAGATGGGAATATTTTAAATTCCCGAAACATGTCGCCCCCCTTGCTTTTTTAAGCATTAACATTTTTTAAATTAAACAACTTAAAGATTTT